CAGCAGGAAGGGTGCAGAGGGCGAGGGAACGTCTGCCTTGACGTGAGCACCTCGGAATGGGCTGTGCAGGCAGCCAAGCCTCCGGCCCGAGCTATCCGAGAAGATAATTCTGCAAATTAGAACGTAGCAGACCACAAAAACTCAAACCATAGCTCTGATGCTTCAAGAATCCTAGTTGATTTCAGCTGTTACCACAGGAAGAGTCAGCTCTTCTACATAAACCTCTCACTGACCAAAATAAGAGCTTTTGCTCCTTTCTCCTCGGCACTCTTTATCCTGTAACTCTGATGGAAAATGCATATGCAGTTTAAGAGTAGGATCTAAACAGCTCTCATCTTTGTCTACACAATCCCTTTCTTACCAGCATATCAATCTCTCAGTGGTATAACTGATTACTGTGCAAAATAATACTGTTTCTGTATAACTTCAAAACTGGATAGAGAATTTATAAATTTTGATTCATGTTATGGAATATACAAACCAGCAAGTTTAATGACTAGACTCTGGCCATATGACTGGAATGCTAAAAAAAGCTGGTTAAAGGTTTAATCTTACCTTACTTGTAGGCAAAGGAGCAAGATCATTTAAAAAAACAGAATAAAGAGGAAAAGTTACTGGTAGGACTTCTAACAGACTAAGAACATACTGGAGGATTTAGGCAGGAGAATATAAAAGATTGGCATGCTCAGCCAGCCAAAGACTCTGTAGTTCAAAGGCAAACCAGAAAGACACTGGACCATGTCCCAGACATCTACCCACAGGGATAAAAAAAAAAAAAAAGGAAAAAAACTTTCAGGGTTTGTTCTTTTAACATAGATGTGCATTTTTCTTGTTATAAGGGGCAACAGTGGCTTCAGAATCCCTTTATCTGATTTTCTGCAAGAACAGGCACGCTCTATTTATGTGTCATATTCTCCCTTGAGGAAAACACCTGGAAGTCTGGGAAAATGCTTAATCTGAAGGGAGATTTTGAGATAGCTGCTTGGTTGCATTAGGCATTTGGACCACAGATTCAAGTAGCAGAGAGAGAATGCTAAAATACGAAGCACTCTTTCAAGCATGCTCCTGAAATGCCAGCCTTGGGCCAGCAGCAAGCTTGTTTTCTAACACTGGGTTCATTACTGGCTGAGAAGGCTCTTTTAACTTTCCACCTAAGTTTTCTGCTCCCTAAAACACCTCTGCAAATAATTTTGGCAAGTTTCAGATTTGTTTTAACAGCTCCCCCAGAGGCTAAATTTATTAACTAGGGGCAAAGTTTTGCAGATTAGTGCACACCTACCTGGACAAAGCCAAGCCCTTGAGATCCCACCCAAGCTGGCTGGGAGAGAAGACACTTCACCCAGAAGCCCTGCACGTTGTGTTATGGCAGCTCGGTGCCCCCACTGCCCCTAGATGAATCTACTTTGAATCTGTCTTTGAGAGATTTTTTTTTAGGCCACATCTACAGAGCTGTGACTATAGATGCACTGCAGAGAGTAGCAGTTCTTCTCCACTGCAGTTGGCCATGTAGTGAGGAGCTGGTTATGCCAGGTGCACACACCTCATATCAGCTGGGTAGGATGCAGTGCGCTCTACCTGCCCGTCCTGAGAAACTCTGGAGACAAACGAGGCAATTTCAAAAACAAACTCAACAGATGAGATGTTTGTAAACTGAGCACCATGTGATACAACCCCAAAAAAGCTGCCAATCTCTTGTATCTGACCAGAAAGCCACCAAGTTGGTAACGCTCTGCAGAAGTGCTATGGGTTACAAATTAAGAGTTTTTTTTTCCTGTGTTAAAAGCAGCAAACAAACTTTTGGTAAGTGCAGTGTTTTAACACAAGGAGAAACAAGATGGTCAATCTGGAGAGATTGGGTGGAAAGAACTTACAAAACACACAGCAATACATGGAGAGCCAGAACACCCAAAGAGACGAAACACACGTCAGTTCTTCTTGCTCTCTCCTAAACAGGACTCTGTAGCAAAGGAATCCAAACTCAGCTGAGCATAGTTCCAAACTATTTGCAGCTACAGACTGTGCTTAGTCACTATTTTTACTTTCTGTCCAACTGGGAATTTTCTTGGGACTATTTGTGACCATTGTCATCAATCTAAAAGTTAATACAAACCTAAAAACAAAATTGCTCCATTGAAGTTTTGCCATCCTTGCCAACAGTATTCACTACCTTCTGGGGTTAAAAAAACTCTATTAATTATGTTACTTTAAAAGATTGCTTGCAAGGTGGAATTTTGCATAATAAATATTAACATAGATCTAAATTGAAGTGAAAAGATTAAGATTTTCAAATAAACGCACTCACACAAGCTGCGAGTACAAAGAAACCATTAAAGAACAGCTTGTTACCTCCAGACAGACCAACGCCTTAGGTCCATCCTGAGAACTTCTAACACTCTCGAAAGTCTCTTGCACAAAGATATACATTATTATTCCTCGAACACGGCCCATTTTTACATGAAGTGTGTTTATTGTCATTGCATTTTCAGAAACTCTTCAGTCTGGACACAGCTGATTGTTAAAAATAACAGCAAGCTGAATAGTTTCAATCTTTATCCTGGGAACTGACTGCATAAGCACATTATTAACTATAAAGTATTCAATCCTCCTCGAAGTTCCCCCCCACCCTGCCCCGGGGGAAAAAAAAAAATCTTAAAATAATATAAAAAAAACACAATTCTGCAAGCAGGAACCAATGACTACTTGAAGCAATGTCCAGAGAAGTCTAAAGTAAGTCATAAAAAGCCCAGAGAAGAAAAAGATAAGTTGCAAACTCACAGAATTCTTCCTCCTCCTGAATAAATTGTTTTCTCTCTCTAGTCAGGATTTTGACCAAATCATATATTAAAATCATACCAAGGTTAGCAAATTACTCACATAACACATTCCAATCACATAAAGATATGCAGCAAGTGCTTAATCTTCCACAGAACGTTTAGTGGCTAACCATGCAAATGAATTATTTAATATTTTCCTCAGGAATCATTGCATTTCCATCTCCAGAACGTTTAACGTTAGCATATTGTTCCAGTAACACATGTTTATGGTCCGGACATCCTTTCCAGCAAAAATATGGCAGTTCATCTTCTAAGGCACTTGATTCAAGTACATGAATACATGGTCTACAGGAGAAGGAAAACTTGACTGAGGTAAGTTAGATAACCAGAGGTGAAAAATTCAGGCTTACCTAAGTGAGCATAAGTGAGTGTAAGTCTATAGAAAGCCTCAGAGAAAGACAAAGATTCTTCAATTTGCTTGTTGCTACCTCCTGAAGAAATGCAATAGCAAAACAAAAAGAAAAACACCACAAACATCTGGGATGTTGGTAGAGTTAGGACAGAGAAAAAAAAAAATAATTCTCCTCCTCTCTGTGAGGCCAGTGATAGTATTTCCAGTGCCTTACTGTAAGATCCTTGAGCAATTCGCAATCTTTCCTATTAGAAAGACACAGAGAGGAAGAAAGAGGGAAGAAGAAAAATAGTTGTGTCAGAAAAGAAAGATCATGAACACACACGTGCAAGAGCAGAATAAAGACAATGGGACAGGCAGTAAGAATAAAAGGTGAAATATTCCCTTGCTTCATATGCCTCAGGTTGGGATGAAATATCTAGGCACAAATGTCCTGCACCAACTGAAACACTCATCAGTCAGAACTCTCTTCAACAGAAAGATTAAGTAGATTGTAGAATAACTCATCTAAGGACCTGAAGTCATTGATGCTTTGAGATTTTAGGTTGATGTAGTCATTCTTTAAAAACTGAACGTTGCGATCTGTTACATGATGGGAAAACATTTTTGCAACTTCCTGTACACTTTATTTACTTCTGTTTCCAGAGGTGCACCAGAAGTACTTGAAGTGCTGCAGGGTGAGGAATAGGTTTGTTAATTGCTCTGATACAACTCGCCGTGGCGTAACCCAGCCCGCAACTGCCTCTGGGTGACCATGTGTCCCCATACAGACACTTCTGCAGTAACCCTGGTTAGCAGACAGTCTGCTCAGCCCAAGAGCTCCTCTCCCATTCTACTGGTCATAAATAAGGAGCAAAATCATCTTCCCAAATCTACACGATAAATTTTGGTTGGTGCAGTCCTCTCTTTCCTATCACTATGAATGTAAGTTGGAGATTGCTGGCACCAAAAAAAAAAAAAAATTGATATTTTTCACTCAGATTAGGGAGGATAGGGCCCGCCTTTGAAGAAACTTCCACCCCATGCTCCCATTAAAAAGTTAGCTAGCAAAAGAAAGGTGAATATTTATTTTTCATCTAGCTAGTTTGTTTTCTCAACCTTTTCTAAACCAAGATCTAAAGTACCACAATATATTAATACATGATAGAGTGAAAAATAACACCATACCAAAAAAAAAAGAGATTAAAAGGAAGTAAAACTAAGTAGCATGATTTATACTTAGAACAGGTTAGCACAAAAATATTCTACAGTAGCATAATTTGCTGTAATCCATAGGTTTCCTCAGGAAAGTGTATACAACATTACTCACCTCAGCAGCACAATTTGGCAACCTGTGAGTTACAAGCAATACAAAGCTCTCTTATTTAGCTTAGCAAACTAAGGCTGCAATTTGCAGAGATCTACAAGACGTAAACATCCAAGCCCCACTGACATTTGAGGGTCCAACACGAACAAACATCTTGAACGTCTCTGCCTATGAATTTCCCCAAATTTAAAATTCATCACAACCCTTTTGCAGAGGCAGATTTTCATGGTTACACTACCTTCCTCATAGAGCTCCTCCATGGCTCTCCAAGTCTCAGCTCGGACCTCCCGATTGCTTTTATCTGGAACATGTGCACCAGGCCAGTGTATCAAATAAAGATCTGAAAAAGAAATCTAGTAAAGATTCTGGTTGTTATCTAAAAAGGAAAACAAAACAAAAAACAACACTGTGCAAAGTAGCGTATTTCACCCACAACAGTTTCTAATATACTGTCTTGAAAACAGTTACAATTATTACTCCATGGTCATCACCATATACATGCACTCTAGGTTTTAATAAGCTAAACCTACAACATTTCATTAACAACTGAAGTGTCAGACGTTACATGTGCCTCAGTCTCCAGTCCCTGCAATCAGAGTTTCACAGCCCCACAAGCACTTCTGAACTCTGAACTCCAAGGGAATTTGGTCACTGGACTACTGCTGAAACACTGAAGTCTTCAAGTTAATGGAAGACAAATATGCCTGGCACTTCAGGGATATTTTATACAACCACAGCTGCAGGCCTGTTTTTCTTTTCTGTAGAATACTTCCATTTATGTATTTATCTTGGAAATTACAGCACAATCACTCTTCCATGGAGTTTCTGAGGTTTTTGGTTTTTTTTTTTTTTTTTTTTTGCTATAATTTCATGCTTGCCATTTCTTATCATACCAAAAAATGCAGTTTTTACAGAACCAAACTGTGCTTTATTACATTTTATGACAGGCTAGCACATTTTCAAACGTAACTAATATTTGCTGCTGATGAACGTATTCAAGGTGCTGCTGCAAATGGTTGTCTCAGGAAAGCTTTTTATTTTCCTCATCTCTGTGCAAGGAAAAAAACTATCCTCCTACTTAAAAATGAAGCATTTCCAGCACAAAATTAAAAAGGATAAATTCACATACACAGAGCTCAGAACTCCAAATCTGACTGCCCAAAGAGGATCCAGTAAACCTGTAGTTTAGCTCCTCAACAGAAATGTTTCAAATTTGCAAAATGATGGGATTCACAAACCCTTTAAAGGTTTGTAGACATTTTTTGCCATTCTGAAAGAGAAGCTTTAAAAGCCACCACATTTCTACTTACATCTTAACCACAAATTCAGCAGGTAACTGCAGTCATCCCAGCTAAATAGGTGTTGGTCTCACTTTTCTCATTCCTCATCATAAACATTTTCAAATGGAAGGATTACAAATACAAATTCAAACCTTCACTTAAATGCACAAGTTAGCAAATTCAGTTTTGTAGACTGGTTCATATTTGTGTGCATCTTTGCAATACTATTATAGTAGGTATTTCACACCAAGAATCTTGAGTTTTGTAGATTGAAATATACTACAAATGCATGTAGGAAAGGGTATAGAACACATGCCAAGATCAACTGCTTAGGAGCCTTAGATCCTGATCACGACAAGTAGAGGGCCAAACGCCTCAGTTTTAATGAAGCACATAGTAATCATGGCAGATAAAGTCTGTCTTCCCAAGACACCGGGCAGCATGGCCAGCCAACACAGCAGGGCCAGGAGAGATGCAGAGCCATGGAGCTGCAGCTCTATTTAACAAAGCAGTTCATTAATGAGGACCTGTTTACTCCCTCAGCACCTGTTAGAAGGTTTCCCACAGTATCTGGGGCCCAATAAGAGCAGCATTGGCCAATTGCATCTTCATTTATACAAGCGCTCACACCTACACCCACACGCTTGCTTGTGCTCACTTTTGGGAGCAAACCCCACTGCATTCACAACCATGCTTTGTATTTAACAGCTTTTTAAGCACTCTTTAAAGGCAATCAAGCTGTAGCAGTGCCTAAAGACAAATGTCAAAAAAAAAAGAAAAGAAAAGAAAACAGCACTGTGGGAACTCTAGCATTAATGTGAACTATTTTCACACTGACTTTTAAAATGTTGAGCGGCTTATTACTTCTTAGTGGTTGTGGCACCCACGATCAACGTGGTTCCTTTTAATTCAAAAGCGTGGGGTCATTTTACACATTTGAAGTGGAACAGTATTTTTCAGTGTTTAGCACACAGCTAACTCAATGCAATGACCATATGGTCCTTGCTGTTCTCAATCTGCACTGCACTTATGTAGAGGTACTTTTCTCTCTTGACCTATATTTTCTTTCGAAGTAACCTCCAAACTACTCTGCATTAATACACAGTCCAAACAGGGTGTTTCATTGTCATTTAGATGCAAAAAATGGCCAAGTTCTACCATCCAAATATGCTGATATAACAAATATTTCTTTGACTCAAGCTGCAGATTTGCTATAGGTTAAGTTTCGTTGAATGCAACTGATTGAAAACAGTCACAAGGAAAATGAAATTGTTTATGAATACAGTAACCCACAAAGCATATTCAGGCAGTTACTTTGGGTCCTTCATCCAAATCCCAAGGAACATACTCCGCCACTGCCAAACCTATAATATTTGCTGCCATTTCACATTGGTTTGTCACAACTGCCAGCTGGAGAACCACATTTAGAAAATGCAAGCAGGAGAATATGTGTACTAGCCACTGCCCACAATACAAATTTCCAGCTTCTCATGGATATATGATCTAACAATCCAAAAAGACTGTGGAACATTGCTCTCTCAATGCCATTTTCCCACAAGTAGTTATTGGAAAGACTCCACAACTGTATTTTATGTAGAACACTTCTCTTAAAAGCAGGGGCTACCTCCCCTCTGTGTTGAGGGCTAGCATTTTTCTACACTGCTAATGAACAGATTTATCCATCACTATTATATTATTCTCTGAGTCTCCAGTTCAAACTTCATGGACGGGTTGAGTAGTCCAATTGGATCCTTGAGGGGATTAACCAGGACCTTCTTCGGAGCCAAGAGCTGTACAATTTACAACGCCATTGCTCTGGAGCCTTTTCTGCTGAAGGTTACATATAGGTGGAACTTCACAGAAACAAACACACCCCACTGCTGAGAAGAACCACATACTTGGTTAACAGCACATGGTGAATCAGGAAACTCTCATTTGGAGTTCTCACAGAACTGCTGGCTTTAACACTAACTTGTAAATAAAACTTTCTTTTCCTACACAAGCTTCGACACAAATTGCCATAATACGGAAACTTGTTTTGTTATTGATTTGATGCCCTCTCCATGGCACACTAGCTAGCAGAAAGATAACATGAAATGCAGGTGGCATGCTCACCACCTAAAATCTAGGGATATATAGGCTGACTTCTGTAGGCCTACAGCTGTATTTGTAAACTGACCTTCTGCATTGCAGCTACTTCTGTTAGATTTGTGGGAAGCCTTAACATTGCCAACAGAAGTCCTTATTTTCAGTGTTCTTGAAGCACCTGAAAATTTTCTGTTCAAAGACACTGCTAACTTCTGCTCAGAAACCCTGTCAAGAGAATCTTCCACCTGGTCGTTCCCAGGCCTGTCGGTGCTCTGGAAGGAACATGCCACCCTGACACATGATACTTCCTAATAAGCCCACAAAACACATGATTTATTGCCTCCACTAAGGGCCTAATTCACCACAACACCTAGAGCTAAACTTAAAACTAACTCGCACACATTTTCTTCTTAGCAGTAATGTCAAAATTAAATACTTGTGAGCACCTGCTTAAAGAAGAAATAAAGATCTGGTACCTGAAGAAATAATCAAATCATGGAAAGGTAAAAGGAACCAACAGAAAATTACTTCCTGGAGTCAAGTCAAGTTTTCTCTCATCAGCATTCAGCACCAGTGCCACAGCAAGCAGAAGGGTGAAAAAAGAAGCAAGCACACACAAAAAAAGACCCAAACAGTAGAAAGCAGTGAGGAAGAAACATGTTATTTCTTAATTTAGAGGAAGAAGTCAGGGATTTAAGTTTTGTGTATAAAAGCCTCTTTGCAGTGGCCTGTATTTGTGCTGGACAGACCAAAAAGGATTTTAACACATTTTGCATTAGTCTGTACCTATACAGGAACCTGATGGATGCCTATACAGGACCTGATTTCCATAAAGAATGCAGCTAAACATATGCATACAAAGTATTAACAGGTATAGCTTTTTTTATTTATTTATTAAAAAAAAAAACCCTTTATCTTGCAGTGTATGGAAGCAAAAAGCCAATCTAGCACATAGTTACCATCAGCAAATTCTGCAAAAGCTTTTGCAGAAAACTTTCACTTGTTCATGTAAATGCATTTTTGGCAGCAGGAGGATAGGGAAAGGGAGAGACGCAAAATGAGGCTTTACAGGGCACTCCAGATGACATTTGATGGTAAGATCCACTATTCTCCCTTAGTCAGTATAAATACCATCTCCAACAGTGTCATTTTAGAGTATTACTTTAAATTTATCTTCCTCTATCCCTCCTCCTTCTTCGCATTGCTCCAGCTAGGAAGGAAGAAGGAAAAATATTTTAAAACAGTTTGCATTTATTTCTAGGAGGTACCTCTACTGCTGTCACCTGGGTCATTATTACAGCTCCTTATCCATCTATTATGAGACTTTCTGTAACAAATACCATGTTTTTCACTATGAGGGGTTTATGAGGTGGGCAAATTGAAGAGTGCCCAAGTCCAATTCAGCATGAGTAAAATGTAATCTTCTGAAGTCTTCTGGATCATATAAAACATTTTCACAAAATGATTCTGCATCAGATAAGAACCAAGATAACTATTCAGATTTTTAGAAGATGTCAACAGTCTTACAATGTAAGTTTTAGAGGATGTCCATTCCTTGGAATTTAGAAGCTGAGACAAGAAATCAGGCATTTATTACTCAATTATTTCTGAACCACATTCCCAGGTATGTAGCTGACCTTCAAATCATTTTAATAATGAAATATAATTTCACAAAAGCATAGTTTAACATATTTTAAAGTATTTGCAACAGTCACAACTAGGAATTATTCTGCGCTCTGAGTTACACACATGAGCATCTTCGAGAACAAACAGAACAAGAAAATTGTAAACATGCAAATAAAGGCAAAATTTAGCTCCCAGGATCTACCTCTACCTCATAGTTGAGTCAGTTTATTTATCTTTCTTAGTGCTTCCCTGGAAGGTGCAATAAATGAGCAATATAAAGATTCATACCAAGATATTCAACACCGAGTCGTTTACATGACTCCAAGCAGGCTCTTTTTGTGCTTTCATAGCCATAATCACCGGGCCACAGCTTGGTGGTTATCCAGAGGTCCTCCCGCCGCACCCCGCTGTCTCGGATGGCTTTTTGGAGAAGAGATTCACTGCCGTATCTTTTGGCTGTGTCAATATGACGAATGCCACATTTTTGCAAGGCATAGACCACAGCATCATGGGAATAGCCACCATGATGTGAAGTACCTAAAGAAAGAAATTAGAAGTCAATTATCAAGAGTACCAACAGTATTAACAGTACATTACGACTGATATCGCAGATTTTTTTTTTCTCATATATTTTTGTTTTGGCAAACTGTCACAGAACCTTCTTACTGAAGGTGTAACCCCACACTGGACCCTGTTGCAGGTGCAACTTGCATATGAGTCAAGCTCAGCAGCAAGAGAAGAGCCCCTTGCACAAGAGCAGCAGGAGACACGGGCAGTTTCAGTAAGACAGCAGCGCGAGTCACCCTGGGTAGGTATCCTGGGGATGTACAAAACAGAGCACTTTGCATGTCAAGGGACGGAAGGAGGAGGAGAGTCAGCATTTTTTTTAGCAGGAAAAGCAGCCAGCAGGAGGACCGTCAGATAAAGAACTGAGCGCAAGAAGGATGATTTTTTTTCAACTTACCCTTTCCTGTTAGTTGTTTTTCCTGCCATCAGCCCCTCACCCGTTCACCCCTACTCGCACACTTCCCATAAACAGTATTTTTTTACAGTTTGCCCAAGGAAATGCTCAGTTAGGTCTCATCAGTCAGAATAGACAGTTGCTAAGATGATGAATGCTGCCAAAAGACCCTATTTCTACAAAGAGCCACAAGCAAACAAATGGTCACTAGCTTCAGCAGTGACCAGCAGCACTGTCAGCTGCAGTATCAGGGTCCTTGGCCACCGCTCAAACTATAAGTGACAATTCCAGGTCAAAGAGAGTAATATACACTTGAAACGTGTCCTTTTAACTGCTTCACTCCAAGCAGAATATTTGGTATTGAACACAACGACCTGCACATTACGAGTGTTAAACTGTTACTTGAAATATAGAAATGAGGCCTCCATATCTTGTTTTGCACTGAAATAAGCAAAGCTACATCAAACTACATTTCCAAATTAATACTGCAAAGTTTGCATTACTCTGCTTAATAACTTTAAGTGAATCTTACTACATTGCAACTATTTACAAAGAACATGTAATTATTACCTTATATAGACACTAAAGGAACTTTAATAAAGAATTATATAACTAGCACTGAGAAATTACCATACTTCATAACAACTTCTTCGCTTTTAATAAGCTGGTATTGGTGCCAAAGAAATTAGGTTATAACTATTGTGACTGTGGTTGAATGGGCACTTCTAAGCACCGAATGAATGGAGCTCATTTAGAAGTCCTGCAAATGGACTCGGATCCTTTTCATGCATAATGGCTTCCAGAAAGAATATTTAGGACACATTTTTTTTTTTTAACCCTTTTGAGCTAAACGGACTGAGCTGGGAAGAAGGCAAAATTCAGAATATTTTTGTATTGCTCCCCATTCAGTGATGGCACGTATGACTGCTCCAAGGGCAATAGAGACACAAAGATCATTTCAGAGCACATCAGGTCCGCTGCTGTGTCTTAATATGAACTACAACAGACCTTATGCAAAGGAAAAAAAGGAACAAACAACAACAAAAGAACCCACACAGAACCTCCCCCTCAAACACGGTTATGTAATGTTACCAATTTGCAAGGCAACTTAATAATGAAACCCAGGAACCCAGGGGTTAATAAAGTAACAAACATTACAGCTCCTGTACTCTAGAAAATTCCAATTTTCTTGCATTTATTCATTTGACTAAACATCTTGCAATTCACAGATTCAAAGGGTGACAGAAGAAGATGAATTAACTCAAATGCTGCCTGAGTTCGTTTCCTCACTGTTTCTCTTTTGTTTGCATCTTTAAGGCAGGCTTCACAAGATATTTAAATACAGTAAACGCTAGCATTCTTTCATGCTCGAATTATGTTTTTTTCCTCTGAGATATATTTCACACTATGTGATACACAAAGATACAATCTGGACTTGCATTGAAAACTAACATGAACCAGCATTTACTCATCAGGAGCTATCCCACTCACTCCCTTCCTTTGTGAAGAGGGTCATCCTTATGTCCTGTAAGGAACATTATAAACAGTATATTATTTATATAAAATATACAAAATATTAGTCATCTGAACACCCTCACTGTGTACCTGGTATTGAATACCATAGGCGTAAATTAGCTTTTTCCACTGATTTTATTTCTATTATATCACTTTATCAGTTTCATGTAATAAAAACCGTCAACACAACTGGATTCCACTAATACTTTACAACCATGTTTGACAATAAGACATAACTTTGTCCACACGCCCAGCAAATGAACATACTAGATGTTTCAAGGTTTACTGCTAACCCAGACACAAAATCACACGTCCCTGTATAGGAGGGCTCAAAGAGGCAATTACTGCTCACTGCCCTTCAATGAGGCAGCCACAGTCAGGTCCCCTGCTCTTGTATGCAGCATCGTAATAAAAAGCTGTGCTCAAGTCAACTCTCAAACCATCAGCAAGTGCTTCTTTATTCCTTTATTTCTCCAGGACAGAGGTTATGTGCCCCAGCATGACAGCAGCTCTCAGAAAAACAGACATTTTGCTCAATCTGCAAGAGTAGGAGGTGTAATGCAGGTATAACAGTGGAGCAACCTATGGGGATGATGGGCACCTAGACAACCTAAGACAACCCCCACACAGAGTGCGTTATGCAACAAGTGCTTTGGGCAGCCGGAGCAGCAGACAGTTACCTAAAACTAGGTCAAAGCTGCAGACAATTGGTTTACTTGATTCCTGAAACTGTTACCCCTTCTTTAATACCAAAATGGCAATGCAGTGCTGTGACTGCAGCAAGCAGGAGGGGAGAAAGGTGGTTTTGCACAAACCTGATGGAAGGTGAGCTGCACTGGGCGCAGTGCGGATGTGAACTTGCTTCTGCCAACATCCCAACACAGGGAGGATGCAGGGAGTACCATGCAGTAACAATGCACTGGTATAGGAAGATTTCACCAGGGATCTCCTATTAGATGTATCAGTTATGTTTATGTGCATTTTTATGGCATCACAACTATACCATATGTGATATTTTCATTCTTGTTATGTAAAACTACTCACACTTATGTAAAAATCTAGGGATCCCACCCAGAAGTTTCTCTTGCCTTTGTACAGTTGTATCAATTTTACTGATTTATTAATAGACTCTCTACTTATGTATTGCTACTGTTGCACATCTTCCTGCTAAATAAAATCCACTGCTTATTGCAGTGGGGTCACTCCAGGACTGCTCTTCTCCTTTGCATTTCAGCTCAAATAAGGTCCTAGACTTCAATAGGCCAAGGGAGAAAAGGCTGCAAGCGCAACCCCGAACACTGCAGTTCTGTTCCGCACTGGAGCGCAGAGCACGGGCAGGGAGTCGAGCTGCAGGGGAGCAGGACGCAGCCAGCACGTGTTGGTCCCGTTTCCAGGGAACGGGAGGCAGGATTGCCAGCCTTGGCTCTCTTGGGAGGAAGGAAGGAATGGCCGTGAGCCACTGCTGACAGAAGCTCCAGCCCTCGGGCCACAGAGGGCCAGACTGTAAAGGAGAGGCAGATGTGCCATGAAGCTAAGGTCCCTCTCTGCCCAAAGAGCCCAAGTTTACCTGGGCACAGCTTTAGAGAAGGAGCTTTTAAAAGGCATCTCCCAGCCTGCAAGTAGTACCTGCTGCCACTGCAGGGCTGGGAATGCAATGGATTCTGAGGAAAAAATAAAGCATGATGTCCAAAATGCAGGTATCTTGTGCTGCAGGAGTTAACAAACTTCCTATTGGGAAATGCCAACTATTTAAATCATGCAGCTTTCACGCACAAACGCTCATTTTTGCTCAGACCCTTCCTCACAGGGAAGGATGACTTTGAAAACTGACCTGTGCATCTCAAAGATGGACTACAGAGGCGCAATCCACGTGGAGATTTCATAAGCAGAGCTGCAGCACGCATTTATTTAAATGCCTTTACAGACAGACTGCCAAATCCTGAAGCCTTTCCTTTCACTCAACACTTTCCCACCACCGTGAGAACCATTTCTCATTAACACCAAATTGTTTTCAGATGCTCTGCTATAAGATGTTACCTTAGAAACCATTTACTAAAAGACTGTGGCTTTCTTCCATAGAAATCTCAAGCAGTGAAAAGGCAGATTTTCTGGCATAAATCAAATCCAATTTCTAGGGTTCACTAAACCTTTTCTCCTCAGAATAATGTTTTGTGACTAGATCTTAGCAGTTAATAGTGCACAAAGAATTGCTGGTGTGAACCAGTTTTAAATGATTTTCATTCTGTTCCCTTTGTTAACTCAATTGCAAATACTTCCAGCACTTACCATACCTTGATAGAGCTTTTAATTTCCTAACAGGTAAGCATATGTGCAATATATAGCAAACCTTGCCTGAAGCAAGGAATGGACTGAATAAAACCTTTTTAGTTTTCTCTCCTTTATTTAAGGCACCATCCTGCACTGTTTTGATAATCATTACACTCCTTGATTAATGATGTCAGACAGTGGGGAATAATTCATAACACGGTACACCTATGACATTTTTCTCCTCCAAACAACTTGGAATGATTAAAACTTATTTTAAGTCAAGACGTCACAACCGGAAGGACTAGGTCAATACACTTAAGTACAGAGTAAAGGCTTAATATTTGCATATATGTTATATTGTTTAAGCATACGGTGAAGGGATAGTAATGTTAAAAGTTGTAGCTCACCGTAAGATCACTAATAAAAAAACTAAAAATATTATAAAAAGAATACTATAGAAAAAAGTATGAAGGGAAAATTAAATTTAAAGTGATTTGTGGCTTACATCAGGAAAGCATACGTACAATAACTCATTTCAAGATCCTCATTTAACAAGGCATTAAAGATGATGGCTAATTTTAGACATCATAACAAACCCATACAAGTACCTAGAGTGTAAATGCAACTGTGAAACATGACCTAAGATCCCAGTGCAGCAAAACCACACAGCACTGTAAGCTGCCAGATCTGCAGAGCCCCACTAAAATCGACCGGCACTTGCACACTCAGAAAACAGCAGCACTACAGCTATGAGTGCTGCAATTTAAAGCTAATCAATAAAGAATGCTTCTGATCAA